TCCAAAACTTGCAGGAGCGTCAAAAACAAGAAGAGGGCTGTTCACCTTCATATCGCTCACGGGTGTACCTTCAAACTCTGGCTCACGTCCCACCTGCCCCTGCTGTTTCCTGTCTGTCGACAATGTCGCCACTCTCCAATGCGACATTTATGATTTGTGGTTCCACCAGAAATGTGAAGATGTATCTCTCGCTTTGTATAGATGCCTCTCCTCATTATCAACCGAGTGGCTCTGTGCGGCGTGCCAGCTCCCACCCCTGGCCGATGACCTCTTTCCATCCCCTAAGCAGCACGGAGCCCCTGTGTACCCCACCATCATCGCCAACTCTACCAAGAAGTCCTCCGACCCGCCTCCGGCGAGCGACATCGGCAGCATTCACCGTTCGCATGACCACTCCGCGTTTGGCATAGTTGTCGTGTGAACAGTGCGCGATCGGAGTCTACAGACTCCAATCCCGTTTGGTTTTCCAACATTTGCTTCCTAAAAAAACAACCTTCCTGACTTTAAAGCGCTGAAGTAATCTTTCCCGAATACAATATTCGCTGTGTGCGAGACATGGCTGGACACCTGTCTTTGGTGGGCAATTAATGGGGAATTGATCAATCTCGCACAATTCTCTTTATTCCAGCAAAACTGTCCCTCCTTGGGGCGAAGGAGTCCGTCCTCGCCATGCCATAACACCTGCCCTGCGAACGTCTCGACCACCTCACCCCTTCGGGTCTAGAAGCCATCTTTGTCAAGGCATTTTGTAAACATGGAAAGCTTCTTCTGGTGTCTACCTACTGCCCACCCTCCCTCCGTGAACAATCGTACGCCCTCCTCCAAAAGAGCATACAGCGCGTCGACCCCAGCAAGTTCTCTGCACTGTTCATCTGATCCACTTGATGACATGCTGTAAGACGTATTGGAAACTGCTGGCCTCACCCAACTTCATGACGCCTCATTCTACATTTCTCAAAACAGCAACGCTACATTCCTCGACCTCGTCTGCACCAATAATCCCACCTTATCCTACCGCTGCACAGTGAAATCCAGCCTACCAGGCAGTGATCGCAGTGCTCTCCTCACCAATATCCATTGCCCTAAGCAAGGTCATCAAGCCAAGAAGTTCCAGTAGTTCTAAAAAACCGATTTCCCTCATCTCAATCAGCTCATCCACCTCGCTCCCAGGTTCATCGTGTTTGATCACCCATCGGCTGACGAGGCCGACGACCTCTCACTCAACATATCAGCAATTCAGCACAAATGTGTTCACCCTAAGGATCAATAGGAGGCACGGCAGCCTTCCATAGATGACAAAGGAGATTGCAGTCTTAATCAGACGTAAACACTGACTATTCAAAAAAGTGCCCCTAAATCCCACTCATCTTTACCAAGCCCACCAGGCACGTACCGAAGTCAAGCATCTCATTCATATCTCCCATAACGATTACCTACCAACTAAGAGCAAAAGCAACCTGCCAGCCCAAACTCTTGGGCATGTTTTCACTATAAAAAAAAAAAGTTCCACGCGCCGGTCTTCACACATCACGGCAGGCCCTATTCTAATCTTGACGACATAGCACAGCTCTTCTCTCACCACATTTCTCGGGCTGTAGTATTACTTGACCCTACTGCACCTAACCTTTGTCCCACCCAACCCACAACTCAGCCAATCAAGGCCACACCAGCAATCGCACTCTCTTCCATAGTCATTCTTCAAAGTGAAACCTACGAAGCCCTCGCCTGTGACAACTCCTCTCAACGCCCTGGATCAGACAGCCTCCACCCTGCATTGCTTAAATCCTGTGCTGGATGTATCTCCCCCGTCCTCACTCGCCTCTTCAACGATTTTCTCTCCCACAGCTCTGTTCCTAAATCCTGGAAAGTTGAGTCAGTAACGCCTCTCAAAAAGGGACACGGTGCTCCCTCAAGTCTAACATCCACTTGTGACGGAGTGTATTACCGACTCATTCGGTGCTGTGCGTGCGGGCACGTGTGTGTGTGTGTGTCCCACCGTGGCGTTCGTGCCAGATTACAAAGAATCCTCGCCTTGCGGCCAGGGGAAGAAAAGAGGACAAAGAAGAGGGACAGCAAAAAAAGGGCGGTTTAGCCATCGCAAGCCTTCGGACGGAGAACGTTGTAGCAGTTGTCTGTGTCGCAAACTAGTCCTGGGTACTGTCTCTCCGCAACGTCGGGGCCCGACGTTGAGGAGAGACAGTACCCAGGACTAGTTCCGGCACATATAACTTTATCTAAACTCGGCTTGAGTTCGCGACACAGACAACTGCTACGACGTTTTCCGTCCGAAGGGTTGCGATGGCTAAACCAAACAATGGAGCCCCCGCCAATATGGTTTCCGCCCGGCAGGAGCTGCGAATCGGCCCTTGCAGCTTTCACTTATGCACTCAGCACCAGCCTCGACAACCGAACTCCGTGCAAGATCGTCCAGTTAGACTTCAGAAAGGCTTTTAACAGCGCAGACCACAGCTTGTTTCTATCCAAACTCCAACAGATGGGAATCTCCGGCATGAAGAATTAAAAATTTACTTTTTCACACTACCTTATTCTTCAAGGGCTCTTTTCGTGATTTAGCACAAACTGGAAACACTATTAACAGGTAGGGTGTCCACTGAGCTAGGTTATGTGTGCCATTGCGTGTCAAAGGGGCTTTGAGAAAACTAACTGAAGAACACTTTGTCCAAGCTCAAGAGAAAAAAATCTTGTTCTTGACCACTGGCTAACACAACATGATGGGAGCAACCGGTTATTGTTTTCTTCAGGTGACTTCAGAACGAGGTCTACGGGCACGACAACCAGCTGTGGTTGTCGTGCTGATCCCCAAGACAGATCGTGATGAGGAAGAGCTAGAGATAAAATTTAAAAGCGCTAACAAAGACGAAGACAAAAAGGAAGGCGAACAGGACGAGCGCTTACTCTCAACTGAACATTTAGCGCTTTTAAATTTTATATCATGAACCAACTCGCCCGCTTCGCCACTTTAGTAAGAGCTAGAGCCCTCCCAGTCACTGTTTTTTCCCAGATATGCAGAACTACCTTTAGTGCACTTACCCAACCAGTCATATGACGAGTTGCAGATTATTGTCAAGTGACCACTTGTGGCTGCGACATTCATAATTGCATAAGAGATCATAGAATAGATGCCAGAACCCTCATGAGGAATGTTATGCTGCAATGTCAATTTCGGTGGCCCTATTACAGCTATAATCTGTTTCAGCCTAATTTTACAAAGAAAAGCACTGCCGCCCTTTGGAGCTAATCAGAGCAAAGAAGCAAGTTTTGTGAGAGCTCTCCGTAGGAGGTGTATACTCCCACAATATGTTGTCCCGTCCCTCAGCCAAATGTTCCGGTTGTCTCGTTGGTGCCGTAGCTTTGGTAATGCCCTGTAAGCTGCAGAAGGATGAGTCAACCTAGTTCCAGTAACAGTTCACCTCACGTACGAATATGACCAGAAAATGCTCATGCCACCCAAGGATGAGGGTCGACAAATTTCCCAGCGTACGGTCTCCGATTTTTTTCTTGTGGCCCAGATGATGAGCTGCCTCTTGAGTTTCCTCACTTCATCCCCCTGGTTACTGATGGTCCTTGTCTCTGGTGTCCGGCCCTTGCAGCTTGCCTCCACACGTTTGTCGCCCTCATGGTATTCTCTGTGATTCTCCGAGGAACCATCGTACTGGAACAAGAAAGTAACAGTATACAGTGAATGGACGAAGCGAGACACACCTTATAATCAGGGGCAGATCCAGAACTCCGTTTGGGGGGGGGGGGGGGGCAGAAAGTTTGTAAGGATGCTATCCTTTCCTTCTTTCGTGTGCACCGGGGGGTCCAGCCATGTCAAATTGCCCTCCGAGATGGGGGGAGGGGGGGGTCGACTTTGTTTGTGTGTGTATGTGGGGGAGGGGGCGCCCCCGTCGCCCCCCCTTGGATCTGTCCCTGCTTATACTTCTAAATTAGATAAGTACTGTGGGTCTTACTGCATGACGTGCCAAGCGGAGATAAATAATGTCTGGAGCTTGACGGGGGGAGGAGGGGTCTCGACGCATGCTGGACGACAGGTGCCAAATGCTGTCATACCCACAGGGTATCCTGAGGAGAGAGAGAAGACAGGTGTGAGTCCAGGAAATTGGCATGTTTGAGCAACACTTTTTTTGGAGGTGCCTTCCCGTTAATTCCCTTCAAGGGACATCCATCTGACTAGTTAATTCAGAATTATGTTCAATGTACCCAGTCAACTTGCTTAGCCAAATGCAAATATATAACAAGTGGTAAATTCACTTTTTATAATGTTGCGTGTTTTTTTATTGTTTTGTTTTTTATATCTTATGCTATGATGCCAACTTCTCTTTTATGATTTTACACATTAGCAAATCCGAGGTTCGGTCCTGATCCGCGTCATTTGCTACTATATTTATATTTTTCCAGTAAAGTGGCGTGAAAGTTTCGATACGTGGAGGTTGCGCGTGAACAAGCAATTCATTACGTTCGACCGTTTTACAAGTCACGTCACATACACTTCGTTGGAGAAAAGACGATCGTGCCATGGCCTGACGCGAAGGACAGCACGAGAACTTCAAAATGTTTGCACTCACCAGCAACGAACTTGAAGCGGAATCCCGGAATCTCGAACGGCGAAGTGAGTCCCCGGCAGAACAGCAACACCGACAACGCGACCGGCGACATGGCTTCGGTTAGGGCAACGAACTTTTTGAAGCTAACGGTAACGACGGTAACTGCTCGATTTTTTCTTTCCATGTTGGTTTATCATTATTACCTAGCTTATTATGTTTTCTAAAAATAATAACATTAACGCACTCAATTTAGTCAATTACGATTCTTTTTTGACCCTGTTTTTTTGTTTGTTTTTGTTTGACAACTTCAGTTGTCGTCATCCGGCTTGAGGAGCGCTGTGTATGCGCGATTACCGGAAGTGGCCTTGAGTGGGACCACTGGTTATGATTCCACTGTGGTCCGCGCCCGGAGAAGTTTCAGTTGCGGCTGAGGACTGACCGTGGAGGTACCCGTTCGGCTCATGCTTTGTCGAGTATTTAGCGGTCGTTTTGCAAAGGATTTTGCGCGAGTGAGTAGAAAGGCTGCCGCCGCTGCTTTGCAAGTGATGCAATTCGTTCGCGCTTTGTTCCCGTGAGCCTGGTACGCTCCGTAATCGCTCTCTTCGGCGTCTCCTTCACCATCGGAGGAGAAGCCGCACGCTTCGGTGCGTCGTTGATCTACGTGTCTTCGTCTGTAAGTGCTGTGTTTTGAGAAAAGACCTGTCTCTCCTCGTGTCGTGCTGTGCGTGCGTCGACGTTTCCTAAGTAATCCCTCCTAATTCAATTCTCTTATTGTCAACTACCAAATCTAAAATAATAATAAAAAAAAAATCTATTATACCCTTTCTTTGTATTACCCCACTTTTCTTTTCTAGAAATTCATTCCAAACTACGCAAGAACACGACTAGAGTGACCTCAGCCCTACCTGAAAGACCCGCGCATATACGTGTGAGCCTCGTGGTGAAGAAGTACTTTTTGTTCTTGTGAAGTGCGTCGTTACGGACCTGAAACACTCGCGCATTTCCCTGTGTAGTGTGAAGAAGTACTTTTCCTTCTTTCAATTGTGCTTCGTTACGAAAGTTCCCACCTCAACGAGCCTTTCTGTGTGCACTTCCCTGGTGAAATGTGGACAGAATTGCAGCGAGAGGAGTCCGCACCTAGACGACAAGCAAGGAAAGGTATTTGATTCCACTCTCTCTCTCTCTCTTAGTTTGAATATTCCGAATATTTATTTTTCTCATCCGGAGACTCCCAACGCATTCACGCCAACGGGCACTCGCTTTCGCCTTTTCCGAGGGAAGATGGCAGCGCGCAGAAGGCGATTTCTGCAAAGGTCTATAAGACCTTTGCAGAAATTGCCTTCTGCGCGCTGCCATCTTTGTCTGCTGGGCTGTGGAACGCCTTCCAAGCATGCGCTGTTGATCTGCTGTGCGGTACATCGGACGCTGCGCATGCGTCCGCAGCTCAGTGACTCAGCATTGTTTCCCCGCTCGCTTCGTTCGAGACCGCAGCTGGAAAGCTCGAAAGAGATTAAAAGTGCTTTTCCTTCTCGAGTAAGAAAATAAAACTTTAGCGATTCGAAATCTCCGTGTAAAAATATTGATATAAAACGAAAGTATTCCATTTAAAATGAAATCATTTTCAGTGCGTCTGTACACACACTTCTTGCGCGGCACAACAAATTTATCTGCGTTTATTAATACCGTTTTTAAACTTACAAACGAGCAGCTGCTCAGAAATATTTTTGCCTTCCAAGTATGCGGTGAAATCGATATATAAAATAATTCCATTTAAATTAAATTTCTTTTCACACCTATCAGAGAATTTCATTACATATTAGAAAATATATATTTCGGTAACACATACAAAAAAAGAAAAAAGTTTTCGGTGCCTTAGAGGGTGAAACGGGGGATAGCGGCTTCGCGCGTGGCCGGCGATTGGAAGTTCCGTGTTCTCATTAAAAGTCATAATAAAAACAGAACTATTCGTTCGAAAAAAAATTATTTTATACCATGCGTCTCCTACACACACTGGCACGCTATACTAAGAGTGTCTATCTGCGTTTATTCATACCTTTTTGTCGACTTACGAACGACCAATCGCTCAGAGAGCGCGAAACTTATACTTTTGCCTTCCAAGTAAGCGGTTTGATCGAAGTAAAAGGAGTTTAACTCAGAATAAACTAAAATCCTCTCTACAACTCTTAAAGAATTTCATTAGCTTTCAGAAAATATATATTTCGGTAACACATAAAAAAAAATGTTTTCGGTGCCTTAGAGAGTGAAACGGGTCAAGTTGTAGAGGCCGGCTTCCCGCTCGCGACGTGATTCGAAGTTGTGTTCGCGCAAAAATAATAATAATAATAATTAAAAAAAAAAAAACTATTCGGTTTCAAAGAAAATCCTTTTCCGTGTACAAACATTTCTTTCGCGGCACAAAAAATTAAGAACCTCTATCTGCGTTTATTTTAAACTTGAAAACACGTCGCGCGCGACGCGTACTTTTTTTGCCTTCCTAATTTAATCAATATTGTTTCCTTCAAAAAATCGTAGAAAATCCCCAATTCATGCTACGAGTGCGCGCTTTGGGCCACAGATGCGCACCGATGAGCGCATCATTTGACTACAAATAGTTTTTCACTATATTTTTTTTATAAGTTTGAAAAGGGGAAATTCTTCCCTGTCGGAGCAAAAAGATCGCGAATTTTCGGTAATGTTCCTCTCATCGAGATCCTTTGACCTTACAAGAATTCATTGAGGTTGAATTTTTGCATGAAAATAACATCGGAAGTATTTTTAATTATTTTTTCAGTGTTGAAAAATATTTTTTTTCTTAAAATCCAACATTTATCATATCGTTCCAATATTTTTCTGTCATTAATCCCAATGTCTTAGTTTTGTGTCATTGCTCGATTGAATTATTAATGTACTATGTTCTCCGTCGTTCTGTATTTATGTAGTGTCATTTGTTTTTTCTTTTTAGCATTTTGTATGGTACTATTGCGTAATGTTGCCTGTTCTGGCCTAGAAAAACCATTTCTGATCTATAGAAAAAAAAAAAAAGGCACTTACCAGGTTGAATTCCCTGCGAAGAGTCAGGTGCACGCGTGATCTTGGTGTATACATAGATTCTTCGTTATACTGTACATGTTAGATTGGTCGTACTGTTTACTATTTTTATGCGAGACTTGGAACGATGCAAATGCCCCGAGTTCTTGTTTTCCTGTGCAAATACATTCATGGATTGATTCATTATCGAGATCTTAAAATATCCAGATCTCTTTGACCCCGTGACCATTAGGGGACCAGATTTTGATGTTTTTAACCCGAAGTTCGTAGCTTTTAATACTTTTGTAACTATCCTGTAAACCATTTGTTGCGCATCATTACCAAGGCGTCAACCTAACGTAACCTATTTATTTATTATGTATTTAATTTTTTATTTATATTATGCTTTATTTTTATTTTTTAATAAACATTTCTGGTATAAGCTAACCTATTTATTTTGCTTTTTTATTTCTCTCATTAATATTCTATTCTATTCGGCTGATATCGCGAATAGTTTTGCTGACTTCTTTCGTTCGTGTTATTCCCCTCCTATGAGTAGTTCTTTTAGTGCCACTAATGCTGGTTGTAATGCTTTTTTGTCTTCGTTTACTGTTGGCGCAGAAGAGATCGTAGAAGCCATGAGGGAACTGAAACCCAAATTATCGAGCGGTGTTGATGACATACCTATGTTTATTATAAAAGGCTGCTGCTCTTTACTTGCCCCTGTTTTGATGCAAATTTTTAATATGTCTCTAGCACAAGGATACTTTCCCGAGCTTTGGAAAGTGTCTGTAGTTTTTCCTATTTTTAAAAACGGTGATTCGACATTGGTTAATAATTACCGTCCTGTGTCATTGTTATGTAGTTTTGCAAAAGTTTTTGAAAAAGTAATATATAAACGTGTTTACTTTTACCTTAGCTCAATGATATCTGCATCTCAACACGGGTTTTTGAAGGGTAGATCAGCTGAGTCAAATTTATGCTCGTTTTTAACGGTTACTCTGCACCAGTGGTGTCAAGTAGGGGACAGGTAGCTGCAATTTATTTTGACATGTCAAAAGCGTTCGATTGTGTATGTCATAATTTACTGCTACGGAAGCTTGCCTTGCATGGTTTCAGCCCGCATCTTTGCGCGTGGTTTTCCACGTATCTCATTGGTCGTCGAAACTCTGTTCGCATTTCTGATAGCTACTCTGACGAGTTTATTTCAAGTTCTGGTGTACCCCAGGGATCTATCCTGGGACCACTTTTATTCCTTTTGTTCATAAATGATCTTGCTTCCCGTATTACACATGCAAAAATTCTTTTGTTTGCCGATGATGTTAAGCTTTTTATAAGTGTGAGGTCACTATCTGATTGCTCCCGTCTCCAGGCTGACATAGAACGTGTTTCTGAATGGTGTGCCAGAACCCGCTTGTCACTTAACCCCAAGAAAACTAAATCAATTGTGTTATCCAGAAAGCGTGACATACTTTATTTTTTATATAATTTGGGAGGGGCCCCGATTCCTCGGGTTCCTTTTACCAAGGATCTTGGTGTATTCATCGATAGTTCACTATCCTTTAATAATCACGTGTTTATAACCGTTAATGCAGCACTGAGAGTGTTGGGAATGATTTCACGGCTGTGTCGCCAGTTTTCTACACCCCGTTGTTTACTGCACTTGTTTAAGACATTAGTGAGGTCAAGATTAGAATTTGGCTCAATCATTTGGAATTCATTAACGTTATCTCAGGCTCTTTCAATAGAAAATATACAAAAACGAATGATTAGAATTGTGTATGACCGTTATATTGGAAGGAAATATTTTTACCATTATGAAACTTTACTTGTTCGATTTGCGTTGCACAAGCTTGCTGTGCGGAGGCAATACAGAGATTTTATATTTCTTCACAAAGTTGTACACGGAGAAGTGAATTCAATTGGTCTGTTGCGTTTCATAGATTTTCATGTTCCGTCAAGGGTCAGTAGGAATGTGCTAACCTTTTACCCATCCTGTATGTCATCTGTGTCTCCTTTATCGAGGATCCAATTAGCATTTAATAAGACCCATCTTGACATTTTTCTTTGTTCAAACCAGTTCATGTTTTATGTGCGAAAGTGGATGTCCTTGAATTACCTATTGTAAGGCGGGTTCTGTATAGTCTTTCAGTTTCTGTTATCTGTTTATATTTTCATTGTGACAAGTATTTTAATGTTTGATATAGTGCTGTGTTTTAATTTTCTTTATGTGCACCACATATTGGTGCTGTTTATTCGGCACCAATATGTGCACCACATATTGGTGCCGACTGAGCTGTTTATTTCAAACAGCTCAGTCGATTATATAAAAGCTGGCGTCATTGTTTGCGATCTGAGTGACCACCTCCCAATATTCATTTCTCTCAAAAGTTTTCCGAAAAAAAGTTGTAGGACAGAGCGGACATTAGTACAAAAAATAACTTTAGATCGACTCAACGCTTTTCAGACCGCTGTTTCAAATACAAATTGGAGCCGGGTACTGTGTGAGGATAGTGCAGACGGGGCTTATAACACTTTTATAGAGTTATTTCTTGGACTGTATAAGACATATTTTCCTTTTACTTCTATTAAAACAAACAAGCGCATAAAGAAGCCTTGGATACCGAGAAATTTACTCTAAAATTAAGATAAAAAACGCTTTATATGGTAAATTCATAAAATCCAAGGACCAGAAGGACCTTAAAGTATTTAAAAACTATCGCAACAACCTGACAAAAGAACTAAAGCGCGCCAGAACGCGTTATCATTTTGATTTGTTCAAGGCCACACAAGGACGCACTGACATCATGTGGAAGCAACTAAATTATCTTCTTTATCGTAATCGCCCCTTCAGTTCAATTGAAAAAATTCTGTGCAATGGTACCGAACTTACTGGATGTTCACTGGCAAATGCTTTTAACGAACATTTTGTAAATATTCTGGGTACTACCGAAACCGAAACTCCTTTGGTTTTAAATGATAAACGAAACAGTGATTCGATATTTTTAGATCCCGTCGTCGAACCAGAAATTATAAGCGTGTTTCTTCAGCTTAAAAATAGTTCTAGTTGTGACGTCGATGGCATCCAGATAAGACCGGTAAAACATGTTATTCATCTGTTAGCACCTGTA